TTTTATTAAATTTTGTGCATGCATTTGGAGTGACTCGTTCTCGAGTAGGGTTATGGCACTATCCACTGTCTGTGGTGCATTTGTGCCAGCATCTGGTGGTCATGAGGTATGGCACGTAGTATAAATGTGACAGGGTTTCGTCAAGGCGTTTTTGGAAAACGGATAGGGTGGGTGCATAAATTGCATGTTCCTGGAGGGCGTTCCAAGGCTGTGCCACTCGAAGGGAAAAACAGTTTCGCCGACATTCCAGGCGGCTGTACTGCGTGACTAACTTAAACTAGTGAGCTCTTAGCGAGATGTTTTGACTGAGTATTAGAAGGGAATGGCATGGGTGGTTGGGGTCTCTCAAGATTAGGTATACCATTATCAGATCGCCCCTTAGCCGCTGATAAGTCCAATGTAGATTTTAAGGGCCTTCAGCCTGAGTGGGTAGGGAAGGCTGGTCAAACCTCTGAGGCTCTTCGTTGCCCTACGCTGTGTAGTATCCAGCGCGGTGAGATGGTGCTTGAGCCAGGGTTGCCACGCTTGAATAGCGTATTCCGCGTGCGGCCTCACGTACGCGCTAAGCATTTTTGGAAAGATCGAAGGGTCAAAATTCCCGAAGGCTCTGCGAAGAAGGCCGAGGTACTGGTTTTCTTTCTTAGCTGCCTTTTCAGTCTGCCTCGAACCACCGAGGTCATCTTGAACTATCATGCCGAGATCGCACTCGTGAGAAGCCCGCTGTAGAATTTGTGATCGTAGGCGGTAGCTGTGCAAACTCTTTTGCCTTATACTGAGAACCTTGCACTTGGTGACGTTGAAATGCAGCATGTTCTCTATGGACCATGCGTACGCTTGTCCAGTCCTCCTGTAAGACTGTGTGATCCTCCACTGCAGCTATAGTGCGCCATACCTTTAGGTCATCAGCTAATAGCATGCAGTTAGAAGACAGCGCACTCGCGAGGTCGTTTATGAAAAACAGGAACAGGCGGGGTCCAATACCGAGCCTTGAGGTACGCCGTACTGAACTTCGATGGATTCTGATAGGTTGCTCCTAACCCTAACATTCCGGTGACGTTGTAGGAGAAAGTCTCCTATCCAGGCCATAACATGATCGCCGATTCCATATTTCTGGAGTTTGTGGAGTAGAATGTGATGGTCTATACGGTCGAATGCCTTTGAGAAATCCAAGTAGGCCGCGTCGATTCTAACACCAGCGTCCACAGATTTCGTCCAGTTTGCATGAGCAATCAACAGATTAGTTGTACAGGAGCGATTTCTGCGAAATCCATGCTGTTCCGGAACGAGAATTTGGTTGTTCTCCAGGTACCCCATTTAAGCCTCAGCTACAATGGACTCCATAACCTTGGAGCTCACAGGAAGGAGTGTTATCGGGCGTTAACTTGCTGGATCAGCACGACTGCCACTTTTGTAGATAGGCGGGATGATTCCGTGCTTCCACATCGTGGGGACGTGCATCTCGTTCATACATCGTTGAAAGAAAATTGCTAATGGTCCTGCCAAACTCATAGCAGCAACTTTCAACGCCTTCGGGCGAATGCCGTCCGCACCTGGGGAGCTGAACTCGTGCAGACATCAGCCTCTTCTGTACAGCTGCGGAGGTAAACGATATGTGGTATAGCCCTTGATGGCCGCGTTATCTGCTTAGGCAGGATGTATGGTGATTGCTCGCTTTGGAAGGTACGGCCAAATTGTTGTACAAAGATGTTGGCTGCCTCTTGTGCGGTTTGGGCTAAGCCGCATGCTGTGTGCAGGGCAGGAATACCGCGCTTAACAAGGCGCAAATTGTTTACGTGTCTATATAGCAGTTTGGGATTGGAGCAAAACTTTTACACTAGACTTTGTTAGTTCTTCACTTTAACCTCTCGAACGAGTCTGACACAGTGGTTCCTGTGTATTGTGTAGACATCCCAGGTATGATCGTTCGGGGGGGCTTTATAGGTGTGCCATGCCAAGTACCTTAATGCAATGCACTTACGTGTCCTGCTCCTAACGAAAGACTTCATCCTTTTGGTCCGGTAGCGTTTGATTTCAGATGACCTTGCCACGAGCTTGGTGAATGCGTTGACGAATTCACCGCAGGCCAACTCAGGGGTTAATTCAGCCAAGAACGACCAGCTGGTTGCATCAATGAGGTCAGAGAGGTCTTCATAGTTGGTTACGACACGATATTCCTCGGCATGCTCTTTTGGATAATCCGCGTAGCACACGTAATGGAACAATAGCGTCGCATGATCACTGCGGCCCCAAGGAGTATCGGTTATCACTCTCGTGACCATTAATTCTTCATTGGTGAATATGCGGTCCAACATAGATGGCCTGTCAGTACCCCTGAATCTGGTGGGCGTAGTGATGTGGCCATAAATAGAATAGTTTGAAACCAGATCTTGCAAATATGCTTTTAATTGCTCTCTTGGTGTGGCCTGGGATTCGAGGGCATGTAAGTTGAAGTCATCCTTGTCTATAATGTGACTGTACTTCCTGTTTATCACATGCTTCAACGCAGCCATCAAATTGCAGTCCATCTCAGGAGTAGACGATGGTGGGCGGTAAACAACAATCAATAGGCCAAGATCGTTCCCTCTCAGCCGGAACTTACACCAAATTGCTTCAGGTACGCCGGTTTCCGAATCGTTTATGCGTTCGCATTGCATGTGGTTACGAAACTAAAGGGCTACCCCACCACCTTTGCTGGTTCGATCCTTCCGGACAACGGACATGCACGTTAGTGCAATTTCAACATCCGTTATCTCGCAGCGCAACCACGTTTCGGTGACGGTGATGAGGTCCCAAGCTGCAGACGTGTGTCGAAGTCTTAATTCAGCTAATTTGCTGAGTTGACCTTAGGCATTTGTGTACATGCATGAGAGATTCTCGGAGACCAAAAGTGTGTTAGATTGGATGGATGAAGCAAATGAGTTTACGCCGACCATTAAATGGTCGGCGGCTAATCGTTTTTGGATGGGTTGCAAACTCTCGAGTAGTATTTGATATATAAGCAGGTATCAGATGCTCCTAATCCCGGTGTTTGCTCGTGCTCTGCTGTGACCCTCCGGTTAGTATGGCTACTCTTGAAACCGTTCCGGAATCGGGGCATGCAGTTGGCGTTTTCATTAAGAGTTGTGCCTCTACTGAATTGTCATTAAAAGGTGTTGATATACCTGCTGCTTTCAGACGAATTTCTGTTGGCAATCTGCAACGGAATTTAACCCAGTTCGCTATTAGGTTTTTTGCCTTTAGTTCTGACTGTAATACAAGTTTTAAGAGCCTGGGACCGCACCCCTTATAGTTTGGTGATATGGAGATCCTTGTCTACGAGGTGACCACGACATTTTCGAGAGCAAGAACCTCCCGGATGTAGTGCCATTGCTCGCGGTCGTGCGTCTGGGCATGGTCGGAAGAGGAGTCAGTAAGCTCAGGAACACCGTGAGCAATCACTGTTTTCTTATTTTGACTTATTTTCTACCTATCTTTGTTAGCGGGATACCTTGAAAGTTCTTTCCACGGGATTTCGGGTAGTATGCGTACTCCACTTGAGTCGCTGCAGAGAAGATTCGCAGACAGCGGAACGGCCTCAGTCTCATCTGCCGAGTTTAGTGTTACCCGATGTAACCCGGGTTCGCAGTAGTGCAACGCGTTTGGGTGGCGCGAGATTCTTCTTAATTTCATAGGTTTGGCATGGACACCGTTCGACGTACAGATGGAACCCCGCTGATTTCGGTCGTCCGTCAACTTACCCTTAATTCTATTGGATTTGGACTCGGGGATATTTGTGCATACAATGTTTAGGACACCATGGTTGCGGCTGGTGGCTACTGGTTTTGGATGTGGAGGCTTAGTATCTGGTGTTGTTGTTGAATTTGTGAAAGGCATTGGTGTGTGCCATCCGTGCTGCGCCACTTTAGTTTTCTGTAGTCCGGGCACAAAGGTTACCGGAGCTATTTCCGGTGTTTGCTTGGCGGCAACCGATGTGCACGTTGCCGGGTTGTTCACCATTGCTGGTTGACTGTAGCTTACAGTCTCGAGTGTAGCGAAAAGACTATTAGTTGCAGCACACAGTACATAAGTTGAGGCATGCGCGCTGCAGGCACTGTTTTTACGTTAAGGAGGTAGAGAGAGTGTAGTTGATACTGCTGGGGGCTGAGTCGCTGGGGTTGGGTTGGGACCCCTGGCTCGCTTCTTTGGCCTGACTAGGGAGTTCGGGGAGCTTTTTCACCCACAAGTGCAGGCCCGTTCCCTCACATGGGTGTAACTCGGGCGCTCACCAGTTGCTCGACCGCTTTGGTTAGTCTTTCACACCGCTTCAGTAGCACAGATAGAGAGCTAGCAAATGGAATAGACTCGCATACTTGGCAGAACAAAAGCCTCTGCCGTGTTTGCATTCGTCGACTATTTCCCAAGGCAGATAGTGTTGTAGGTTATTAACAACATGGAACAAACCAAAAACACTTCTTACCACTTACGCACATGATTCGCATTTGCTCTTCATACAAGACATGTTCAAGATCATGAGGATAATGATAATGAGGATGATGATGATGATGATGATGATGACGATGATGCTGAAGATGATGATGATAATGATGAGGATGAGGAGGAGGATGAGGAGGAGGTGGAGGAGGTGGAGGATTATGATGATAATGAGGAAAATGAGGATCATGATGATGATGATTATGATGCCGGAGATAATGATGAAGAGGATGATGACGATTTTGCTGAGGAGGATGAGCATGATGATGATGACGATGATGACGTAATTGATGATGATGAATATGATGAAGATAATGATGATGATGATGATGATGATGATGATGATGATGATGATGATGATGATGATGATGATGATGATGATGATGATGATGATGATGATGATGATGATGATGATGATGATGATGATGATGATGATGATGATGATGATGATGATGATGATGATGATGTATGATGAGATGATGATGATGATGATGATGAGAGGATGATGAGATGAATGATGATGTGAGATGATGGATGTGAGTGATGATGATGATGATGATGATGATGATGATGATGATGATGATGATGATGATGATGATGATGATGATGATGATGATGATGATGATGATGATGATGATGATGATGATGATGATGATGATGATGATGATGATGATGATGATGATGATGATGATGATGATGATGATGATGATGATGATGATGATGATGATGATGATGATGATGATGATGATGATGATGATGATGATGATGATGATGATGATGATGATGATGATGATGATGATGATGATGATGATGATGATGATGATGATGATGATGATGATGATGATGATGATGATGATGATGATGATGATGATGATGATGATGATGATGATGATGATGATGATGATGATGATGATGATGATGATGATGATGATGATGATGATGATGATGATGATGATGATGATGATGATGATGATGATGATGATGATGATGATGATGATGATGATGATGATGATGATGATGATGATGATGATGATGATGATGATGATGATGATGATGATGATGATGATGATGATGATGATGATGATGATGATGATGATGATGATGATGATGATGATGATGATGATGATGATGATGATGATGATGATGATGATGATGATGATGATGATGATGATGATGATGATGATGATGATGATGATGATGATGATGATGATGATGATGATGATGATGATGATGATGATGATGATGATGATGATGATGATGATGATGATGATGATGATGATGATGATGATGATGATGATGATGATGATGATGATGATGATGATGATGATGATGATGATGATGATGATGATGATGACGATGATGAACATGATGATGATGATGATGATGATGATGATGATGATGATGATGATGATGATGATGATGATGATGATGATGATGATGATGATGATGATGATGATGATGATGATGATGATGATGATGATGATGATGATGATGATGATGATGATGATGATGATGATGATGATGATGATGATGATGCGAACTGAGAACTGAGAACTGAGAACTGGTGCGAAGCAGCGAGTAGAGGTTGCTCTGTGTAGCTGCATCATTCGTCGTTTTCGGACATGAACTTTTTATTTATCGTTTCGCTCTCTGTACTTTGCCTCTGCAAATTGTTGGTCTAGTAGCATCTTGAATTTAGACACGGTGTTCGCTTCTACTATATGCTGAGGCAGGTCGTTCCAGACATTCACCACTCTGCGTTCGAAACAGAGTTGATGGGCGACCCGCTTCAAATCCGGGACGATAAGTTTATACCGGTGTCCTCGCGTGCAGCTTGGTGTGCGCAGATGAAGTAGTTGTCTCAACATGGGGTAATCACCCAGATGTAATATCCGGTGCGTCATGATGAGGTCAACCCTCAGCCGACGATAAGATAGGGTGTATAACCCTAGTTTCTTACATCGGTCTTCGTATGGCATACCTCGTAAGTTGGGAATCAGCCTGGTGGCTACATGCTGCACCCGCTCAAGCTTTTCTACTTCGCCTCGGGTGATGGGACAGTATGCGGGAGTGCCGTACTCCAGCATTGGTCGTATTATCGAGACGAAGAGGCGAGACGCTATTTCTTCGGACCAAGTGCTAAAGCTGCGCCTGAGAGCCCAAAGCATACGAAGGCTGTTTTGGTACAGCCTATTCGTGTTGTCAATGGAATTTAGGTCGCAGCGTGAGAGTACACCGAGGTCGCGCACGAAAGGAGCGGGATGCAACGGTTGACCAGCCACTGTGTACGTTCGGCCGTGATCATACTTACCCAACCTCATAAATTGCGACTTGGCAGGGTTGATCGGAAGGTTAACCTCTGCAGACCATGTTGAGAGGCGGTCGAGATCCTGCTGAAGTAAATCGCGATCATTGAGTGTGCGGATTACTCTCCACACTTCCATGTCATCTGCGAGCAAGGTTCAATGTGATTGTAGTAGCTGAGGCACATCTTTTATATGGATTAGAAACAATATCGGTCCCAGTACAGTGCCTTGGGGCAAGCCGCTGCTCGATGGATACCAGGCAGTTAGATGGTGGTCCACCTGGACTCTCCACTTCTGATCAATAAGGAAATTGCTGATCCATTTGTGCAGCGAACCACTAACACCGCATATCCTTAGTCTGTCAAGGAGCACTGCATGGTCAACCTTGTCAAAAACCTTACTGAAGTCAATGTAAATGACGTCAACCGATTGGCCTTTGTTCAGCGCTTGTAACCATTCGTGCCACGTCAACAGTAGGTTCGTGATGCACGAACGACTTTTCAGGAAACCATGCTGTGCGGAGGTTAACAGGATTTTCGACTCGAGAAGTTGCATAAAGCTCCTCTTCACGATCTTATCGAGCGTCTTTGCCAAAACTGCCGTCAGGCAGATCGGCCGGTAGTTATCCACTTTGCTTGGGTTACCACCTTTCGGGATAGGCTTTACGACTGAGCAATTCCAGTCTTCCGGTAGTAGACCAGTGGATAGTGACCTGTTAAACAGTTCAGTTACAGAAGGTGCAATTATGGTCGACAATGACTTGAGGATTAGTGGGTGTATACCATCTGGCCCAGCAGGTTTCCTCCCGTCAAGATTTGCTAGAATCTTGCGTACATCCTCAATATTGCAGTCCAGGCTGTTAAGTTCGGCTGGAGCGGTGCTCGTCAAACGCATTACTGACACCTTATCGCTTGCGAATACGGAGGCGAAGTGCGTTGCCAATGCTGACGCACGATCTGTACTCGAGGTTAGGGGCTGTCATTCTGAGCCTTCTAACACTGGGATATTGGTTATAGGCCTTAGGCGCCGCTTCACACATGCGAAGATCCTCTTGGGAGCAGCTTTTGCGGCAGTTGCACGCGCCTCTCGAAGCTTCTGCGTTTGCTTGTTTTCGCGTTGTTGCAACGATTTCGTTGTACCTTATACGCATTGTAGTCCTCATCAGAGCCAGATAACACGAATTTGTTCCATAGTCTACGTAACCGTCGGGCCATTTTGTTGTACCCTTTGTCAAACCAATGTGGTTTGACTGACCCAAATTTTCGAAATTTGAGGGGCACAAATCAGGCGCACAAAGATTTCACTCCCTATTCAATGTTAGCCCAAAAGGATTCAATAGATAATTCCTTTGGTAAAGACCAGTCTATCAGGCTCGCTGCTCGAATGAGGCGGATGATGATGATGATGATGAAGATGACGATGACGAGGATGAAGATGATGCCGATTATGAAGATGATGATGATGAAGGAGATGATGATGATGATGATGGCGATAATGATGATAATTATGGCGATGATGATGATGATGCCGATTATGATGAGGAAGATGAGGAAGATGATGATGATGATGACGGTGATGATGACGATGATGATGATGATGATGATGATGATGATGATGACGATGATGTTCATTATTATGATGATGATGAAGATAATGATAAAGCTGATGATGACGATGATGACGATGATGATGATGTTGATGATGATGATGATGATGATGATGATGATGATGAGGATGA